GGATGCGTTAGAATTTTCCGACGAAAATGAAAGTCGATGAAGCATTTTGCAACATACATACATCGACTCAGTTTTTTGTGCTGATTTCAAATATATTATTTTTTTTCAATCACAAGCCTGACTATTCAAGAGAAAATCGATCAAAAATCAGGCAAAAAATTTTTTTTTGTAAACTACTCACTGTTTTTGCTATATTTTCAATATTATAGTATCCTTTGAAGATTTATGAAATATCGTAGAATTACAGAGCACAACTTGGACTATCAGAATATATAGAGAAAAAATTTCCTAAAGCTTTTTATAAAATATTAATAACACGGCGCACGAACTTTTTCCTCAACCTAATAGTTTATTTTGTAAAAAAACGTTGTTCATGTCTAAACTCTTTCGAAATATGGATCACTCTCATCAACTAAATATCATGTAGACGAACATCAAGAGATTTTGAGAAGAAGATCATCAGGAAAATTAAATAACATATACCCTCTTGGGCAAAAGTGTTTCTCCCTTTTCCCCTACCTCCTAGCTTATTTTTTCTTTGTGAGGAGGGAAAGACTTTTGCCGAGGGATGTACATACATAGAACTGAAATTCAACAGATACATCTGTTTCATTAAAAAAGATAGTCAGCTTAATTCTTTGAGGCTGAATTGTGAAACTCATATATGTTCTTTAACCTCATTTAACTGATATTAAATGGTTAAATTGAAAAATATCTTGTAGACTATAGTGTTTTACAGAATAATCGATCATTAGAGTGAGGACTTTTTAGGATTCTACACTTTGAAACAAAGAGTTTTTCACTAGTTTTCAAAATTGTTATGTGACCAAGTTTGCAAAAGAAGATTAAGCAATGTGATGCTTATTTTTTACTGTTGCTAAAGTCTGTAGCGAAGACCTGTCTTTAACAAGAGGTCTCTCTAATAGAGAAGTAGACGAAGAATGGAATCGCAAAAACTTCAACTTAAAACTTACATTTACTATTTTCTGCGAGAATATATGTGAGTTACACAAAAAACACTGTCAAGTAGTCTATATATTTTCATATGTATCCGCACATCGTTCTACATGAACCGACTGAAAAGGAATAAAGCGAATCTCAACGACTTTCCTTGTGAGACAACTTCTATAATGAAAAATGAAGATATTTATATGGAATTGTTCATTAATGAGGAAAGTAGTAGGTTGGTTTGTAGAGAAAATCGCACTGCTTTATATTGCAAGTTTCTTCGACGTGAAATCATAGGAACAGGCTTGTAATCCTTTTTTTTTCAGCAGCTATCTTTTGGTAAAGCAAATATTTCTGTAGGAGCGATTTCTTGCTGGTCGATGATGATTTTTTTAAACAGTTCATACGATTGTTGATATTGATACCCAAGCATGTTATGTGAATATTAAGATACTATTGGATACAAAAACAATTATTGATGAGAGAATATTCTCTTAAAAATTGAGCAGTACCTAGGATCCAAGAATTGGAAATTCAAGGAAATATCAGAAATTCAAGTCAACATTTAACGTTAAGTCACACATCTTGGGACGATCATGTATTTCAAGGAAACCAGGAAATTCAAGGAAAATCTGGAAAATCAAGCAAATCAAGAAACTGAAGGCATTTCAAGGAACTCCACGTATAGACAGACAATGAGTGATAAGGGTCTAATCTACCATGGAATTATGGAAATTCAAGGAAATTCAAGGAAATTCTGGAAAATCAAGCAATTCAAGAGAATTCAAGGAATTCAAGGGATAGACAGACAGTGAGGGATAAGGGGTACCATCCACCATGGAATTATGGAAATTCAAGGAAATTCTGGAAAGTCAAGCAATTCAAGCAATTCAAGCAATTCAAGAAAATTCAAGGGATATACACAGGGTGTGGGTGCGAGTGTGTGACTGTGGGTATTGTTGCGGGTGTCTTTCTTGCTACATTCACTTCCAACACTCACCCCTTGCACCCACACGCACACCCTCTGTATATCCCTTGAATTGCCTTCATTTTCTTGAATTGCCTGATTTTCCCAAATTTCCTTGAATTTCCATAATTCCATGGCGGATGAGACCCCACATCCTTGATTATTTGTGTGCCTCTTCAATTCCTTGAATTTCTTTCAGTTTCTTGAATCGCTTGATTTTCCAGAATTCCATGCTGGATGAGACCCCTTATTCCATATTGCTTGTGCATCTCTTCAATTCCTTGAATTTCCATAATTCCATGGTGAATGGTACCCCTTATCGTTGATTGTTTGTGGATCTCTTCAGTTCCTTGAATTTCCTTCAGTTTCTTGAATTGCTTGGTTTTCCAGAACTTCCTTGAATTTCCATAATTCTACGGTAGATGGGACCCCTTCTCCCACATTGTTTGTCTACCCCTTGAATTCATTGAATTGCCTTCATTTTCTTGAACTGCTTGATTTTCATGATTTGCCTGAATTTCCATAATTCTAGCATAGATCAGATTCATTAGTTCTCATAGACTGTATATAGCTAGAATTGCTTGAATTGCTAGAATTGCCAATTCAGAGATCCTAGGGTTATCTCAAAGGTTCTAGATAATTTCAAAGATAATCCCGAATAAAAAATGGTTCTAGAGATTTAGAAGAGGTCTATCTTGCACTGATTTTTTCATGCTGAAATTTTTTTTACAAAGATGATTCTAGCGGAAGTCGCTTGAATTAAGTTGGATTATTTTTTGAGCATAATTAACGTAAATCTTAAGCAGTTTCACTTGACCGATAATATCAGTAAAAAGTAGCCAAGATGCATCACTTAATTATCAATCATAACGGTTAACAGCTAGAAGTGGCTTTTTAACTTTGCTGTCAATCTTCAACTTAACGTAGCACGCTTTAACACTTTAACTTTATAAAACCGAAGTTAAGATGATTACGTCATCGAATAACGAAAATTTGTTGACTTGAGAATTTCGTTATCAGACTGGTGTTTCTAAGAATAGTGAAGTTTTATAAAGTTTGGTCAAAGGTTTGCGGGGTTGAGACATCTGAATCGTCAGATGGTTTCTCCACCTTCAAAACTCCCTATGAAACTTCATAAAATACCATTAATTTTGAGAAATGACCTTGCCAAAATGGAATCTTCAAGTGCACAAAGATCGAAAATTCATCAATAGAATTGCACTCCTTCACCTCAAAAGTCTTTGTCCAAACTTTACAGAATATCCTTATTTTGGTTATACCCTTGTCCTAACAAAAAAATTCAAATAAAGTTGTATTTGTCTCACGCTTATCATTTAACTACTTAATTTGAATAGACTGGAATTTCGGCCTAAGGAGTTTTCGGCCCGGACTGTGGATGAGGGCATGAATATGCGAGTGAGAGTGAAAAATCCCGGGCGAAAAGTCCTTAGGCTGAAATTTCTGTAACCCTTAATTTCAAGTAAATTAAGTGTTAGTTGAAAAGCTCTATACTTAACATTAAATGTTAAGCAATAAAACTCAATATCATTTTACGGTAAGTTCAATTGGCCGCACTTAATTAAGGTTAGATATAGAAATAGAGAGTCATATATAGAATTAAGAAATTAAGGGTAGGAATAAGGAGAGATATACTGAACTAGAACCATCTTTTTGAAGTAAAAAAACAGATCCGGATTGAACTGTATTTTGCTCGAATCTTAAAAAATTCTGAAAATGGTACGCAAATCTGAAACCCTAAAAGCTTCAGTCTGACAGCTCTTTCTTAAGAAGTGCCCAAACACACTTCAACATACTAACCACTGTTCGAACATGGAACACTTTTTTCTCATTATGATAAACGTCTCTTTCAGTGAAGAGTACTTGCAATCGTGATATCGAACAAATTTCAGCGCTATTATAATCACAAACGAGAGTAGAACAGCCATTCCCGTCATAATCACGTTCTCTTCGTGAGCAAACACTGTTATCCACACTGGAAATCGATCTCTACTCTTTATTTTCAACATATTGACATCACATGAATAATCCAACAGTCACAGACATAGTCTATAAAATTGAATTATTCACCGTTTTTTTTTCTATCCCTTCAGCTTTTTCATGTCATTCCAGTAGCTAGTCCTATTTTCACTGAAAATACTGTCATGAAGAAATGTCTGTTTTTCTATTTTCATTAGATAACAACGTAAAAGAAGAGAAAGATGAAACAAATTCATGTAATCAAGACAGTATATGCAGTGCAGAATCTGAGAACCAATCGTCGGCTGAAGTGAACCAATCAAGTGGTAAGTAAACTTATACGTTCAGTCTCTCCATCCAAGAGCCCGCAGATCATATTGATGAGTAAACTAAGCCTTGCATACTATGGAAGTTATGCATTAATATTATTGCTTTCAGATGAAACAATGTATTTTGCGGAGGCACACCACAAATCTACTTGTTCGTGTTAAGATAATTGTGCACTGACAGAAGTATCATAATCATTTCTCGTACTTTGATTAGAGCCAATCGTTCAAGTTATCGTTGCCATTTAATCTTCGTTTAGCAGAAAACTTCTGCTAACAGCAGATTCTTTATTTCCTTTCTCTTTCTAAAGGTATCTTGAGGATTAGATTATGTACTGTTGGTTTTTGGTCTGAATGTTGATAGGTGTGTGCAATTGAGTGTGGTTGAATATGTGCATGTCTGTGTGGATGGATATGACTTTGGCTTCGAGTGTCCAGTGCATTCATACTCACACCCATAATCAGTCCTTTGCGCCGCACTCAGACACACTTCAGAATATATCTAACGCTGTCCAAGCATGGAACATTTTTCTCCCATGACAATAAATATCACTCTCTTTCGGAAGTATTTGTGATAGGGACACTGAACATATTTGTGCTCGATCATCATCATTCTTAGTGTGACGAGAACAGCAATGTCTCTCGTGATCATGTTGTCTACCTGAGTAAATCTGTTCTGTAGACTGGATACTGAGCTCTACACTTCATTTTTATAAGGTCGCAATCACATCAGTAACAGTACAGCTACAGCCATAGTCTATGAACTTGGGTTAGTAATGTTTGTTTCTGAGGTTTCTTTTTTGTTTTTGCATCGATTTTAACAGATAGTGCTATGGTGATTAAATATTGTATGATAAAGAATTGTTTCTTTTTTCTTTTATTCGCATCAGATGACGACGTAGAAGAAGACCAAGATGAAGTGGATTCTTCCAATGAAGACAATGATGAAAGTACAGAATGTGGGAACCAAGAGGTGGCTGATGTAGCTGCATCAAGTGGTAAGTAAACTTATGCACTCAGTTTTTCTATCCAAGAGACCGACATGCAACATTGATGAATAAACTGAGCCCTGCATACTATGAAAGTTGTGCATTAATATTATCGCTTTCAGATGAAACGATGTATTTTGCAGAGGTAGACTGAAAATCTACTTCTTCGTGTTAAGATAAGGATGCACTAACAGAAGTTTCATACCCATTTCTCTTAATCTGATTAGAGCCAGTCGTTTGAATTAACGTTACCCTGTGCTCTCTGTTCAGCAGAAAACTTCTGCTAACAACAGGTTCTTTATTTCTTTTCTCTTTCTGCATGTATCTTGAGGATTAGATTATGTACTGTTAGTCTTTGGTGTGAATGGAGATAGATGTGTGCGTGTGGGTGCGACTTTAGGTATCTGCTACATCGAGATTCCCTCCCACATCAAAACCAATGTTAACACTCAGTCTTAAAGGCTGAAGTTTTTTTTACAAAAGATATACAGTTCAATATTCTTTAAGAATAACATATCCATCTTTCTGTAAGTTTTTCTGTGATTTTTCACTATATGATTGAAAAGTAAAGATATATTTCACATTGCTGCTTATCACTCACTACTATGAAAAAGTCTCAACAATTGCAGATTTGTTACTAGATAATGCCCATAGTGCATTATATGAAGGAAGTGATCTATCTGTTTTTTTCACAAGAATATGTTGAGCACTTTACTGCTTTTTAACTTATTACTGTGAGAATCATTGACAATCGTCCATCAAGATATTTCATTTTCATATTAGAACTTAACTTTCATTCAAATGACATTATTTTGCTTTTTTTTTTTATAAATTCTCAAAAGTTATGTCTGCTCCTTATTCTTCAGCTTTCAATTCGTCATGAAATGCTTTTTTGGAAATCTTTATAAAAGTTTTGTAGAGGACAAAATTCTCTACAAGATGCACTATATTTACTTTTCTTGCCAACTATTTACCATGATAAACAAAAGGGCTAGAATAAAACAAAGGTCGTATTAAAAAAACCATTTTTTGAAAAAAAAGGTATGTTTTCAAGTAAGACAACTTTTCTAAAGAGCTACAAGAAGGACTTTTGCTCAGTTATACAAAGTCTATCGTGTGACAAGTTGCTCAAAGAAAAACAGATGAAAAATGAAGCAAATATGAGGAAAATACTGAGGAAGATCGTTTTTCATTGGTTTATTGGAGTCTTTCATGTTTCAACATCTGTAACTCTCTCAAATTATATCTTAGAAATTTAGAAATTCTACTGTATCATAACTACAGTTTGACATGAAGAGTGGTTTGACGGAAAAACCTATGTGTTAATTCCAACCATAAAATCGAGAAACTTCATGGCTCCTAAAATTACTATCCACTACTACACTTCAAACTTAATTGAAAATAGGGATGTACCAAACTCTAAAATTCTGACTCAAAATTGTAGTTTTTTGATATAAAATACTACCAAACTTCACCAAACTTTTTTTTATATGAAACATACATAGTTTGATTCACTCTGTGACAAAATAACATCGGATTTGATACTAATTGTAGTGAAATATGAGTGCACTGATTTGTTACTACTGCAAGGCTTATATTTTATTGTTGATCAATAATGAGAAACTGGAGAAGTAGTGTTATCGCTATCCTCGATATAGATGTTCGTTATACTATTCCATCATTGCAGTTCTGTCTAATTTGTACAGAACATGAGTTTATATACGAGAGAGAAATCAGAAAAGAGAAAGAATGAATAGAGAATAGAATGAGTAGACAGCTACTATCGGTCATGAGGTTATTGCATATTGTGGAACAGTTATCGAATGACCTTATACCATTGTATGAATAGAAGATAACGAGTTGACATGTTCTAATTATTAGCACACTACTTGAAAGAAAGTTTTGAAATTTGGTGGAATTTGGTGGCACTTGTTCTTTTTGCGAACTTTTCACCAAATCTCGAAGCTTTTTTGTCAAATATTATCAAGTCGATGTTATTTTGTCGCAGAGTGAAGGAAACCATGTATGTTTCGCATAAAACTTCGCTGAGGATTTGTAGTGTTTCATATTGGAAAACCGGAAGTTTGCCTTAGAATTTTAAAGTTTTACGCATCTCTAATTCAAAACTTTACAATTTCACTTACTTCGAAGCTTTAAAAAATGTAGGTTTTCTTCCTGCTTCTGAGCATAAAGAACTCGACGCTGAGACATCTGATGATGATGATAATGTTGATCGAGAAACACCCATAACAAATCAAATACGCATCAGTGGTTTACCTTGGAATATGTCTCATGATCAGCTGTTCGATGCACTTTTCCGTGAATTTTCTACAGTTGGCCAAATTAAAGTAAAAAAAAATGAAATTTTATAAAATGAATTCAAAATTCTATTAATTCATTTTTAGATGGATCAACGAACAAGGAAAGCATTGATCTTTTTATTTAAAAGAAGAAAGAATAAGGCTCGACCAGCTGGTACCGCAAAGATCACATACGAAAAAGAACAATCAGCAATGGAAGCCATTGCAAAATATAATGGTAAGCTCAAATAAATTTATGTATTCATAAGTATAATACAATTATAAGGTATGTTTTAGGAACGCGTGTACCGACGTTAAATGATGTCCAAATCCATGTTGAACAGTGGAAAGAAAAAGGTAAGAAAGCAGAAATGTTATTTACGTGAATACCAACGCCAGAAACATGATTTTCGATTGCAAAATATTTTCGAGAAAAGGAACATTAAAAGTTTATGGAAGGTAGAAAAATGTAACTAATTATCTAGCATCCTTTAATGAGACAGATGACCTGTTCTAAAAAAGAAAAGGGTATTTATGATTATATCTGGCGACTCTAAATTTCAAATTAGTTGAGATCCAATTATTTTCCTATCTAATTAATTGATATTTCTTATTTCGTAACGTAAGTTTATTTGAAAAAACAAGTTTAATCTAAAACTTTTTAATGTGTACTTATCACTCTGAAAAGTAGAGCTCTGCAGTTCCACATTTGTTTGGAACCGAACTCGAAATATTCCAGTTTCTCAGATTCGGAATCGGAACTGGAGCCGTCAAATAAAAGCGAATAGAGCCGTAACTGTTGGACGCGAAAATTTTTTAATGACAATTAGGTTCATCTATATTTTGTCATTCTTGGATTACTTTTGAACAAAAAAAATTTCATCTATTCACTGCATAGAATGCTGATTGTATAGGTTTTCTTTCTCTTGTATCTTTTGAAGGAGTTGCTTTTCAATAAATTAATAAATATGAACAATAAAAAAAATCTAGAAATTTCTGAGAAAAGCCAATGCAACATATTATGTAATATAAAATCAGATCAACAGTTCCCATCACACCTTGTAGAATCCGAAGTGGAACTGGTTTTTTTTCAACTTTGCTAACCGGAATCGGATCCACGCTGCCGGTTCGGATTTCGCATAATACCTGGAACCACTTGGCTCTACTGGAAAAATCCGATCTTGTGACTAAATTTACGGTGTGTGTTTGGAAATGTGCTTCATATTTCGACTTACATCAACATCCGCATGCTGAAATATAGATCTCATATGTTTTCCTAGCCTTGATTATTGTTTGAATTCGCAACTTTGTCTATTTCGCGCAGAAAAATTCATAAATTCTAACGAATATTTTCTTTCTCTGTAAATGTTTGCGAAGAAAGATGTTCGTAATTATATTTGCTTGTTATTCGGCAGCGAGAGAGGGAACGATCGATTACAATGGGAAGATCTTTGTGGCTATGACCAGCTATATGCAGGAGAGAAGCTGAAAATGTCCACTCAAAACTTTCACTAACTCCTGTTTTTCCAAAAAATTATATGTGTGTCTTAGAAAAGGCTTCCATTCAGAATGTCTTTCATCGTACCTGGTTTACACTAATTGGAAACGCGAAGCTAAAGTGCACAGTGATGTGTTCTAGTCTAAATTTACAGACTATGACACCATTTGACGTACTTAAGTACTATAGTTCAAACTTAATTGAAAACTATACAATTTAACTTACTTTGGAGCTTTAGAAAACGTAGTTTTTCTTCCTACTTCTTCAGACAAACAACCAAAGCCTAAACAATCTCATACTGTCGTTGCTGATGATGCAAAAATGCCCATAACAAATCAAATACACATCAGTGGTTTACCATTCACTATGCCCGACCAGGTTCTGTTCGATACACTTTGGGATCTATTTTCTACTGTTGGTCAAATTAAGGTAAGACAAAATGAAATTCTATAAAATGAATTCAAAATTTTATTATTTCATTTTTAGATAGATCAACGGACAAGAAAACCATTCATCTTTTTATTTAAAAGAAAAGATAACAAGACTCAACTGGCTGGTACTGCAAAGATTACATACGAAGAAAAACAAGCAGCAACAGATGCGATCGCAAAATATGACAGTAAGCCCAAATCAATTTGTGTGCTCATAAACATAATATAATTATCGTGTATGTTGTAGGAAATCGTGTACCGATATTAAATAATGCTCAAATTCTTGTGAAGGAATGGAAAATGAAAACTTCCGTACCACCACCGACACCACTACCACTAACTCGTAAGTATTTGCAGCAGTAAAACGTTTAATATGTAGAACGCTCTCGATTACCTCGAAATCAAACGTCTGAGATCGAATTATTGTTTCCGATGAACCGAATTGATAATCATCAGGTTTCTATTCGATCTAAGAAAAAAATTATTTGTATTCTATTTGTGAAACATTTAACGTTCCAAAATCTCGCCATCTATCATCCGTGCTCATATGAGCTCTGATCAGAGTAAGGGAGCGGTTTTTCCAAGGAGGAAACATTGTATTTTTGCATTTTAAAGTACTTCAAGTACTGTCAAATACAGCAAAAGTATTTTAAAGTACCCTAAAGTACATTGAAGTAATGAAAAGTAGGTGAAAATAGCTTGAAGTGTCCTAAACCCCAGGGATAGACCATTTTTTAAACATGATTTAATTAATGTAAAGCTAATAAGATTTCAATTCGGTTTTTTTCGATTAGAGGAGACTTATTCCAAGAAAATAGCTGAATTTTGTAAAACTTGACTAAAAGTTCTTGGGGTCGACGATTTCAAATCTGTAGGTGGTTTGTTGAAATATTGAAGGTTGATATTTTCGGTTGAGATTGGGAAAGGCCTATATTGATAAAATAGCTGAATCTTATAAAACTCGACTAAAGGTTTTGGAGGCGAAATCATCCGAATCAATAGTTCCTTCGTCGAGATTTTGTAGACTGATTTTTACGACCTGTGATGGTCAACTTATAATGGATTTAGAGAAGTTCTACAAAATTTCAGTCTTTTCTCAACATAGATAGGCATTCTATGACTGAAAAAAATCAAACTTCAAAGTTTTGACAAACCACTTATAGATTTGGATTTCTCGATCACGAAAACCTTTAGTCAAGTTTTATAAAACTCCGCTATTTCCTTGAAATAAGCCTCCCAAAACGAAAAAACCCACAATGGAATAGCATTAGCTTTACATTAATTAAGTCACATTGAAAAATGATCCATTCCTATATATAAGTAGTAGAGAAATCTCCTGCATACTGCATACTTGTTTTTTCCTTCAACATTTGACCTTCAACTCGGTAACAGACACTTGACATTATGTGTATTGATAGCCTTACAGCCTCATATCCTTATATCGCTCGTAGCCTTACCCTCTTATAGTCTTATTCGACTTTTGGTCTTTAATCTTTACCCTCGGCACAGACATACACGAACATTATGGATTCCCTGATCAAAATAAGTGGTACAACTAGTGTTTTTCGATTTAATAGTCAATATATTGGAAATCAGACCCCGTATTTATATCATATGTGCTCGGTAGTAATATCTAACTATGGAGCAGACATAAGTTTCAAATTGTGACGGTTTGTTGAAAACAAGAAAAATCTCTCTTGTATACTATATCATGTGTGTAATAAAAAATTGGTTTCTCCGATCAACTTTCTAAATTTTTGGGTGTTGCTGAGTAATGTGTATGCATGACTAACATCCTTCAAAAAAAGACGTATTAGCTGTCATTATAAGAAGAACACATTGAATAATATATTCTTAACCTGTCATTTACTAAAAACAATCAACACCAGCGAAATTCGCTATGTTGAAAGTGCATCAGGAGATTAATTTTCTATAACACGCATGATATTGTACATAACGGAGATTTTTTTCTTTTCAACAAACTGTCACAGGCGAGGCTGATGTCTACTCCATAGGCAGATATTACTACCTAGCACATATGGTATGAATATGAGCCCCGATCTCCAATGTATTGATCATCAGATCGAAAAGACTAGGTATACCACTTACTTTGGCGAGGCTGATATATAGGTTCTAAAGTGCTTTAAAGTAAAATAAAATACCTCAAAATGCGGTAAAGTACAAAAATTCGATGTTTCTCCCGTTGGTTTTCTCTCGTGTCTACTTGAACGGTAGGTATGTAAATAGCGTGCATTTTTTCATAGAGATTATTTTTTGTTGAAAAAATTATCTTTTCATGAAGAGGTATTTTGCTAGTAAGAAAATCATTTTTCTATAACAAACTCATTGTTTCATTTTAAATAAATGCGGAAACTTCGGATTTAAATCCGAGAGTTATGTGTACTTCAAAAAGCGAATCAGACGAATCAGCCATCCTAGAATGTGTGGACATCAAAATTATACTGGGGAACCTACCCTCTAAACTGTTGATTTCTATTGGATATTGCCAAACCAATAGGACTTGGGACCGAATACAGCTCAAATTTGAACTCTTCCCCTTGATTTACCCTAACGAAAGTCGTTTTTCCTATAACTTGATTTCTATTGATCGCTGCTCAACCAATAGCATTTCGATGGAAGTGGCGTACAGATTCGAGTTCTCCACCCCAGAAAACCTTGAAGCATCATCACCGTGATCGGAAGATAGAGCTCTATTTGTGGATCAATTAGATCGTGAACAAAAATATAACCTAGGTCTCTTTAATTATCTTTGTGATAGGGGAGTCAACTTTCTTGTTTCTTTATGTTTTATATACCATTTTGTAGCTCTTTAAATTCTCTATCGAATGGTATATAATAGTTGGGGTTTTAGTTGACTATGATAGGAAAAGTTGTTTACGAAAGCGGGAATGGGTCGATCTTTCCATACGGAAGGTATAGGGAAAAATGAATATTTTTGCAATAACTCAGGAAGGGCTCGGCCAATCCTTTTCATCTTCGAACTCGACCGAGATATTGTTAAGACTGAACTGTGTAGAAAATTTCATCGCGATCTGACTCTCCTTTCAAAAGTTATCGTGTAAACGGACGGACGGACACACTGATCGATTCTAGAGTGTACTCACTTTTTGAGTACACAAACATCGTTTTTTTATTCAGAATTGTTTTCTATGCCAGAAAAAGACATTTTTGCGAAAAAAACCTTCTTTATGAATAAATAATTTGTATGAAAAAGAGTAGTTCAAATAGATATTTATCCATCATGCTCAGCTGAGCGCATGCGGTATAGCCCTGCTAGCACTGCGTAACTAATTTAGTAATGCTGCACTTTTTGTCTTGTGCGGAAACATAAGACCAGTGAACTATAGCTTTAGAGACTAGTTGAAACTTCGTAGAAACTCAGAATATCGCAGACTGCGATACATATTTCAGAAAAATCTACGTGGTCCTACTGAGTCTCATGGGATCCAAAAAGTCCAGATAAATGTGCACCGACTATCAGTCATGTTTTTACCTAGGAAAATAGAAAATTTAATTTACTTTAAGAGTGTTGATGACTTATGCTAATCATGATAGCAAAGGGCATATAGAAAAACATCTTGGCCAACTTTTAATGAGATTCAAATTAGGGTATGAAGGAAGTGCTCAGTTTTCTAAGAGCGCAGTTCGAAAAAAGTATTGCGGCCAAAAATGAAAAAATACTTTGTTGTTGAGTCGAATTTCTTCTCGCAAGCACATCAGCGAATCGAACTGATAAAAGAATAAAGTTATAATTTGTAAAAATTGAAACTTGGATTTAATTGAGTTTCGAAAGTTTAAGTGGCTGCCGATGTTTCAACCACAGAGAAATATACTCGAAGCCTCTTTCGATTTGGGTCCTACTGAAGGATGCACACCACATCTTGTTCAATTTTACTGCTATGGAGTAATACACACTATGTTTCTGATGATATGTGAGTCCTTCCATATTTGAAACTCGAAAGTTGAGAATTCAAGTAAAGTCAAGTTCAAAATTTGATACTACTGTGTCTTTTATGGAAGTGTTTCCAATTCGAATTAGTTTACATGTAGGAAGAAGAATGATATAGGAATCGGCTTAATCGTTTTTAGAATAGTATTGGAATCGTCTATATTGATTTTTTCTTAGACATTCTTATGGATAATCTAAAGAGTTATTTGATTAAAACATTTCATTAGACAGGTTTTACTCATTTTCAAGAATTGTAGAGTCTTGGCTTCCAGGAATGTTTCTCAGTAGATCAATAAACGATTGAGATATTTCGTCAAAGATTAAATAATCTAAGGGCATACAACATTATGCTACGAAAAATGTCTGGCTGAAAATATGGACTCTTTTTATTGCCAGAAGTCTTCTATTCATAAACTCTTTTACTCAAAAAATCTTAAAAAGGTTTTAATGGGGTCAAATACTCTTGTAGGAATCATGATTAATTTCGGTCAACGCTATAGTTGACTAATCTATATCTTTTCTCACAGGACCTCAGGCACAACCCAGTGGACCAGTCAGTATTTTTTGGGATATCGAAAATGTGGCCATTCCTACTCGACATAGCGTCTTTGACATTGTCATGAATCTGCGACAACGACTTATTGAAGACCGGAACTTAGCAGAGCGTGCTTTTATAGCTTACTGTAATATCAACAGTCTTCCACAACAGCATCAAAACGGTCTATCGTATGCCAATGTGACTACTAAGCATATAGTAGGTCGCAAGTCTGGAGCCGCCGATCGACAAATTGTCCTGGATATACAATCACTCCTCAAACATGAGACACCTGTCACATTAGTGCTTATAAGTGGAGACATCGATTTCGTTCAACAGATAAATGAGCTTCGCTTTCGCCATAAACACTATATAATTCTCGTCCACAATCGGCAAGCGAAGCAGGAGCTCTTGAGAACAGCTAATGAAGCTTATCCATGGGAGGTATTCACTGATCAGTGTTGTAAAGCGACCAATAACACTGATGTTAGTGGAGATCCAGGTGCTATCTCCGAAAAAGGAAAGCAGGATGAGCATAACAAAAATCCCCAAAAGTGGGATAAAACTTATCGAAAAGATGTCTTGATGATGAAACAAAATATCGAAAGATCTTTA